CACACTATTCACTTTCTTTTCACTGATCCTCATGTACCTGGGAACCACCACATATTCAAATTAGTGAATTTATATTCTTATTAAGAATTCCAAGCATGACTGAGCAACAGTATGTCAGACACCTTTCAGATACAGAAGAGATGCTTCTAACTCAGCAGGTCCCTCTAAGCCTCACTGACACCTTACAGACAGTAAGAGGAATGGGGTCCTAATCTCAAAGGGATGGCTTTGAGTTATCGAGAAAACTGCTTTAATTCTTCTTATTTTAATCAGACCAAAAAAGTCAGCTACACAAAAAGGAAAGAATGAATAAAGAAACCTTCATATCAGTAAGCACCATTCCTTTGTATGTAGTGCAGAATATTGGTGGTATTGCAACAGAGAAAAATTGCATAAATTTTATATGGTCAATTCATTGTTGCTTTTCAAGAATGAAGATAATAAATACCATTTAATTTAATTTTGAATTACAGAAGCAATTCTACCCCCAATTTGGAGCAGGTTATAATACTTTGAAAAAGCAATTCTTATTTTTTTCTCATCTCCATTACTCCAAGGCTTCTGTTTCTGCAACCAGGAGGTGATCAATTTGAAATGTATAATAATTCTGTACTTGTAGCCACCACCACAGTCTTAGCCCACAAGCGCACTTCCTAGGAAAATGACATATCACAATGGTTTCACTTCTGTCTTTAGGTATTATTAGAGTAGGGAGAGGGACAGAATTTGCTAACAATTTTTTAGCATTCTATAAGGGTTCTTTATCAATTTAGATTTTATAATCTGTAGAATTTGCCTCAGTATTCCATTTCATGATTCTAAAGTTGGCCTATTCTGTTAATGACCTAATTGTCACTTACATTTATGAGAGGAACAGAACTATGTAGCACAACTCATCCTGCCACCACGCATTTCTAGTAGTCAGCGCTCTCCTGTGCACTGCCTCCTACTCTATTAGTGCGGACACTGACATCTACTGGTGAGTTCCATGCGAGACTGTTAGGACCCAAATCATACAGAAATGGACCCACTCTCCTAGACTTAATTTTTTCTAAATATTTTTTTTCTTACAGTGAAGAAAAACAATGTTTTTATGACACCATCTCTTGTGCAAAGGAGTGTTGACATGAACAGTGCAGAACAAAGTATGTGGTTTCTCTATTATGAAAAGCTCAGAAATTACATTTTACCATCTATATTTTAATCTGCGTGTGTGTGTTGGGGGGATGGAGGTTAGGCTGAGTGACAAAACGTGAAAGAATGTATTTGATAAGCCAGGTCCCATGGCCAAAATAAATACTTATTGGGTAAAATCTTGGCTGGAAGTAAGTAGTAAGCAATTCACTGGCTATTTTGACTTTGATTAGTTAATCCTAATCATTAAATTAGTCAAAAAATATGGAGGAAGAAGTATTTCATTCACTTAAGATATGTTGACTCTTTAATTCTGTTCCATTAAGGTCCTTTGAAACATTCTGAACATGTCCTAAGACCTGCTATTTTGCAGCCACCTCGAGCTCAAAGGTGTGAACAAGTAAGACACCATGCATTGGAACACTGCAAGACTAAAGAAAAAACAAAAAATAAGGTAAGAAACTCTGCCGTGGTAGGACTGACCTCAGTCTCTCCTCCGTCCATTAGTGGGTGGCTGTGGGCCCCACACCAGTCATGAGCATTAGGAGGCATTAGGGGTCCTCTGAGCTTTATGTTGTTGCGGAATCAGCTGCAGAGCTGGAGAACACCTGGCCTAGATAGCAGAGCCCTCAGTGACCTCATTCCACAGGCCCTCTTACGTGGGGGAGCTGTTGCCAGGACCAAGTGTTGTGATCTCTCCGAAGCTGCAAAACTGAGTCCTACAGGATGGAAAACCTTGTGGTCTTGTTCCCGTGCCCTGATCCCTTGTGAGAATAGGGAAAGCAATGAGGTGCCAGGGGCTGGGAGTCGGAAGTCAAACGGAGGACAGGGATTTCTGCTTCCCCAACTGCTTGACATCCTAGCGTGGCTTTGCTGGTTTAGGTCACACCAGGGACCCACTCAGACCCCTTTTCATGGATAACAGGAGCAGGGAACTACCTGCACAGTGTAGCTGGGGTGGGGTGGGGTGGGAGGGGGGTGTTGGGAAGCTTCTGGAGATGACAAGAATTCTCTCTTCCATTGTGATACGTTATTTTCTAGGAAGTGCGCTTGTGGGCTAAGGACTGTTGTGGGTGGCTGAATCAGGCTTCATGGGCCTTTTAAAGGAATACTCATTTTGCTCAGGCCATGCAGATAGGGGTTTGGGACAGTTTCTTGCTATAGTTCTAGCTGTTTCCTTCAGAAGCAGGCACTTCAGAGGAATGAGACACAAGATGGAATTTAAGAGTTAATTCCATCAGTCATTTATTTCCAGCTAAACTATTGAGGGTTGGTCTACCTCATTTTGTTTTGTTTTCCTTACTGAACATAAGGATAGCAACACATGGAGTGTTAAAAATACCAGTGAGTTCATTAATTCAATGAAAAGAAATCAAGTTGGTAGTAATCCTACCTCTGCTACTATCTATGTTTGCATTCTTGGAAAAAGCACGCAACCTTTCCTTTCTATTAGTGAAGTGAAGGAGTTGAACTTAGTCAACATTTGCCAACATTTTTATATTTCTAAATCTTTTTTTTTGGTAAAATATGATTTCATGAGACCCATTGTGAATTAAAAAAAACATTTTATTATTTATGCATGGTTTATGATGTGATTTTTAAGTAACATATTTTAAATTTTAAATCAGTATATATTATTAAAAGTTTTCATTTCTAATAATCATCACATATTATTTAAAAGCTTTTATTTACGAAGTGATGCATGTGAATTTTTTAAAAGTTTATAAGAAGTCCTGACTGGTTTGGCTCAGTGGATAGAGCGTCGGCCTGTGGACTGAAGAGTCCCAGGTTCTATTCTGGTCAGGGGCATGTACCTTGGTTGCGGGCACATCCCTAGTAGGGGGTGTGCAGGAGGCAGCTGATTGATGTTTCTCTCATCGATGTTCCTAACTCTCTATCCTTCTCCCTGCCTCTCTGTAAAAAATCAATAAAATATATTTTTTTAAAAGTTTATAAGAAAAAATATGTGTTGACTAATTTTAAAATGTTATTATATTGCATTTGATTTTGTAACAGCATTACCATAAATTATAGATTAAAATTTTTATTACATGTTATGATATCAAAAATAGATCAATATTTCTTCTTTGGCATGTTTTTTAAAATCTTAATTGCATATTTAAATAATAAAATATAATATATTTCTTGCATTTTCTTCCTAAGTGATTAAGCATAAGGGAAATTTTCAGGCTATTGTTTGTAAGCATTTCTACTTGAACAGCTCATGAAGGTTATGAATAGAACTTACTCTTCATTAGTGAAAAGCCTAATTGGATATGCTCATCATTTTCTATTTAATGATGATCTTTTAACATCTAAAGAATAGCTAAATGCTATGTAAGAATTCTGACAAAATATATGTAATTTATAGATCTAGTGAAAATTATTTCTAGGTGAATTTTATAGAACCATTATTTTCATGTTCCTTATTAACTTGTATATCAAAATCAGAAAAATTTTTATACATCCTGTCATTAATCAGTGGTCACTTATTGTGTATAATTTAAACAATATATGCCTAATAAAAACTATTTTAAGCAACATTAAGAGTAAAATCTGTGATTTTGGCTGAGTGATGAATCCTCTGCGTGACTGAGTCATGAGCATATATTTTGATTGTTGCTAACCAATGATGCATATTCTCTTGATATATATTTCTCAGCTCTCAAATTCTATTATAATAGGGAACTACTCAAAATTATTTCTATTGGTTGATATAAGATTAAAGTAGAAACAGACCCCATCTGTCTTTATTTTATTCATTTATTTGTTTGATGGAAATATTTATTTTTTAATTTTTTTATTTTTATTTATTTCAGAGAGGAAGGGAGAGGGAGAGAGAGATAGAAACATCAATGATGAGAGAGAATTGTTGATTGGCTGCCTCCTGCACACCTTACACTGGGGATTTTTTTTTTTTTTAAGATTGGGCTTCATTCTTTTTTTAAAAAAAATATATTTTATTGATTTTTTTACAGAGAGGAAGGGAGAGGGATAGAGAGTTAGAAACATCGATCAGCTGCCTCTTGCACACCCCCTACTGGGGATGTGCCCGCAACCAAGGTATATTCCCTTGACCAGAATCGAACCTGGGACCCTTCAGTCTGCAGGCCGATGCTCTATCCACTGAGCCAAACCAGTTAGGGCTGGGCATTTATATTTTAATATATTTTTACTAGAGGCCTGATGCACGAAATTCATGCAAGAGTAGGCCTTCCTTCCCCCGGCTGCTAGCACCAGCTTCCCTCTGGCACCTGGAACCTGGACTTCCCTCTCAGCCCCAGCTTTGTCCGGAAGGTCGTCTGGAAGGACATCTGGTCTAATTAGCATATTATGCTTTTATTATTATAGATTGGTTTCCGAGAGGAAGGGAGAGATAGAAACATCAATGATGAGAGAGAATCATTGATCGGCTACGAACTACACGCCTCACACTGGGCATTGAGCCTGCAATTTGGGCATGTGCCCCGACCAGAACTCGAACCATGACCTCCTGGTTCATAAGTTAAAGCTCAACTATTGAGCCATGCTGGCCAGGCCCACCTGCCTTTAAAGACATGAACTCCCTACCACATCTCTGGTAGGGGAAGGAAGGTGTCCACAAAACATTGGAGACACTAGATCTGATCTTTCTAGGGTTCCTTCCAGTTCTGAAAGTGCCCACTCCTTCATTTATACATTAACACTTATGTACATATGCACATTTCTGTTGATTAAGTTACCAGTCCAGTGTTCCTAGGTGAAGAAATGGAGTTTCCTTCCACACTGATTGGATGGTGGTGATGGTGAAGCTCTTAGTTGCTTCCAGGGATTAAATAAACCTGAAAGATAGATTTACTAACCTAGAAATGAGAATTAACTCCACTTGGCTAAAAAAGGAACAAAAGGAGTGGGATTTCTGAAATATTAGGACCAAGTATATAGTCTCTGGTGTCAGACAGACCCAGCCTCAAACATCAGCCCCACTCCTGGTTGTCCAGGCCTCGCCAAGTTATTTGAATGCATTAGGTTAGTTCACACATCTGGGAAATGTGGATAACAAATAATAGGTGTACAAAGTGTATGGAGTTGTTGTGAACAGAAAATGAGATAGTGTACATATAATGCTCAGGGCAGTACTTGAATACAGCAAATTTTCAATACATTTAACTATAACTATTATTGCCTTGTCTGATGCCACCATAGGAAGCAATTTAAATGAACTTTTTGGTGGATTTCTTTTCGTTCAGATTTCTGAGAAGAACTCCTCTTTGCTAAGTGAAAATATGCCAAGTGCTGGAATTTCAATCCAGCTGTCTACCAACCAGATTCTTTTGGGTGCTGCATCAGTAGGGTGAGTGCTGTTCCTTCATTGTTGCTTTCTTTTATCGTTATAACCATTTACGGAAAATAATTTTCTGACATCATAGAGATAAATTGTCAATATTTCTGTTTGAAAGAAGATTTTATAGCCGAAACCGGTTTGGCTCAGTGGATAGAGCGTCGGCCTGCAGACTGAAAGGTCCCAGGTTCGATTCCGGTCAAGGGCATGTACCTGGGTTTCGGGCACATCCCCCGTAGGAGATGTGCAGGAGGCAGCTGATCGATGTTTCTCTCTCATCGATGTTTCTAACTCTCTATCTCTCTCCCTTCCTCTCTGTAAAAAATCAATAAAATATATTTAAAAAAAGAAAAAAAAAAGAAAGAAGATTTTATAAAGAACACAGTTTAAAATGACTTTCAAAATGTCTCTAATATTGTAATATCATTAATATTGGAATATTACTAGGCCATAAAAAAGAATGAAATCTTACCATTTGTGAAGCATGGATGAACCTAAAGGGTATTATGCTAAATGAAATAAGTCAGTCAGAAAAAGACAAATACCATATGATTTCACTTATGTGTGGAATCTAAAGAACAATATAAATGAATAAACAAAACAGAAACAGATTCATAGTTACAGAGAACAAACCGATGGCTGCCAGAGGGGAGGGGAGTTGGGGGATGGGTGAAAAAGGTGAAGGGATTGAGAAGCACAGATTGGTAGTTACAAATCAGTCATGGGGATGTAAAGTACAGCATAGGGAATATAGTCAATAATATTGTAATAACTATGTATGGTGCCAGGTGGGTACTGGAGATATCAGGAGGACCACTTTGTAAAGTATATTATTGTCTAATTACTATGCTGTACACCTGAAACTAGTACAAAATAATATTAAATGTAAACTATAACTGAAAAAAATTTTAAGTTAAAAAATGTAAAAAATAAGTCAATCGTTGATGAAAGGAGGAAAAAAGCAATAGTTATAGCAAAAAGAAGCTTTAAACACCCCCCCACACACACATAAATAAAATAGCAAATGCTTCTTTCTTTTTTTTAGATGTCAACCAAATGAAGATAAGTATTCTTTTAAAAGCTGCAGTTCTGACTTCGTTTTTGGAGAAAACATGGTAGAAAGAGTTTTGGTAAGATTTTGGCAAATGTTTCTCTTATTATGTAGAGAGCTGTCACTTCAAATTTCTGAAGACAAATTAATTAAAACAATGTTACATTGGAGCACACTCTTTAACTCCTGGGTTCAAAGGCACGTTTTCTTAACTGGGAAGAGTCCCCTGGGAAGCTAGTTTGTTTTCATTGTTAGAATAATAGACAGGAACCCACAGAGGAAGAGAATTGTATAATTATAACATTATTACTGATGAGAAATATTAAATAGTTCTTGACTCGCGTAAACCCAAAGGTACCCAAGGAAATCCCAGAATTACCTGCAATAGTTAGATAAGCTCAACTAGTAATGACATCTTAATATCGTTTTTCAATAGTATTTTTTTTTGGTAATAAGATGATTTTAACATTGTTTGCCAATTTTTTCTCATTAGCCACAACCTTTCCCTTCAAGGTCTTACTTTGAAAAGTGTTACTGTAACTTACTTGCATCTAGCTTTAAGGGGGAAATCACTTGCCCGGGGGAATATACTTGCCAAGTGGAGACCCGGAACTATCATTACTGCCCTCTTTATTCACTATTGAGAATCCTGCGTGAGGCACTTGTTGCTCTGCCCTCCTTAGGGGATGTCTCTAAGACAGCATCATCTACGAGGGAGGGGGGAGGGGGGAATTATACAGCAACGTGAACGCTATGGAGCAGGTGTGCCTGTGCTGTAAGCTAGTCCATCGCATCTTCATGCTCTTCCCAGCTTTGACCCGGACCAGAATCTTGGCTAAGATAGGCCTCAGTGGCTAGCTTGCCTTGTGGGCTGCTCGTTACAGGGAGGACCCAAGGAGGCTGTCGAGATTTAAAAACCCACGAACGGGCTCAGATTAATAGAAGGACCAACTCATGAGGCCAGTTTATTCCAAGATTTTTAGGGCTTCCACCAATCAGTCACTTTTACGATCTCGTTTATTCCATACCTGCCTCAGGTTAAACCTCAATCCCAAGAGCAGTTGGCATAGCTTTCTAGTTTAGAGGCGTTCTTTGGTCCCTCCCAAAACGAAGGTCAACACCTGCGATCCCAGAGCTGGTGACCCACACCTTTGCATCTGAACCAGAATGGACCAACTTCCAGAATGAAATTCCAGGCAATATATTTAGAGATATTTACTCCATAACATTTAGTCCTAAATTGGACACCAGATTGGCTTCTGTAAGATGTCACCGACAAAAATAAGGTATTTTATTAGCATTCAACTCAATGTAACAAAGGTATTGTGTTCTTATGATACATAAAGCATTGGTGTCGGTCTTCAGTTTGCCTGCATATTAGCTATCTGGTGAGCCTTCACAGTATTTTTATCCTGGGCATCTCCCTAAACCAACCATTTCAGAGTCCTTTGGTTGAGGCCAGGTGTCAGGCAATTCTAATATACAGCCAGGCTTGAAAACTGCAGGAGACAGAGAGATACCTGTACAAAGGACCTAATCAGGATTGCGATGTACTTGGAGGAGGCACTTGTGTGCTTTCCCATGGGCACTTCCCATTTGTTTTACAAAAGAATCTGCGCTTCCTCTCTCTGTAAATTGATAACATCCTACAGATAGGAGCAATGGAGCAAACTTGTATTTGTCTTCAGTTAATCCTGTAATCCCGTGGCCTAGTGACTTGGGGGCCCGGATATCCTTCGGACTGGTTAGCTGACCATGTGCTCTTAGAGTTAGCCATTAAGCTTTCTGTGCCTTAAGTTTTTTGTTTGTTTGTTTTTGTCCCTTCGAAATAAATATACTCGTGTCTACCGATTTTAACAGACTATGCTTGATGTCCAGTTAAATATTGTGAGCAAACCTTGAACAGTTTATAAGGGAAATGATATAAACCTGAGTATCATTCCAGTTTTCCCTGTTCTGCAGGGGGCTATACAGGATCATAAATGGTAGGGAACTACTCAGTCCTTTTCACACAGGCCTTGATCACAACACATGTACAAAGACCCATTGTTGGCAAAAGCTGATGGGAGGAAAATTAAGATTGTTTCTATGAAGATGATCTCTGAGACAGCTCAGTGGGTTCTCTGGATAATTTTATCATTATTACTACTACTACTACTATTATTATTATTATTATTATTTAATCCTCACCACAGGATATGTTCATTGATTTTAGAGAGGAAGGAGTAGAGCAGGGAGGGGAGGCACATCAATGTGAGAGAGAAACATTGATCGTTTGCCTCCCATACGTGCCCCTACAGGGGATTGACCCTGCAACCTAAGTATGTGCCCTGACTAGAAATTGAACGACTGAGCTACCCAGACAGGGCAATTATTATGATGATGTTTTAATGCTGTGGATAGAACAGCAAATTGCTGGGCATACTGAAATACCTTGAAACAGATAATAGTTGCACCTCCTCGTAGGTATCAGGTTAGTCTGGCGGTAGCATGGAACAGCTGTCACCTCCTTTGGGGCCTCTGAAACGTCTCACATTGTCCCTGGAACCGGATCCCACCCAAATAGGCTGGTGGTCACTGGGCTGTGCTTCCTGGGGACCAGGACCAAGGTCCTGCAAGGAGAGGGAGGAACTTCCTGTTCAGCACAGAGGGAGCCCAAACAAAAACACAGCAGTTGGTTTTGTTTAAAACAGAAGAACAAAGATATCTTTGGCTTACTGCAAATATAAGAGGGTAAAATTAAGTAACGCATCTTTCCCCCCACCTAGGGTATGCAAAAACTCACCCAGCCTCAACTTGAAAACGACTCCTATGCCAAGGAAAAGCCATTCAAATACACTCTAAAATTTCCTATCAACTCTCCAAACTCAAGTAAGAATTGTTTGGTTTGACTAGTTTATTTCCTGTTTTCCCATGTCATTTTTGTAACATCTACAAAATACAAAAGCAATAGTCCAGTATTTTCAAATTTGTTGGTAAAGAATAAAGCATATACATATGGTTACATGATATAGAAGCTTTTTAACATTTTTGACTTAATACATGGCAAGTCATTAAAGAGATTCACTTAACCTGAAGAACTTGGGTTTTTTGGAAACACTCATTGTTATAAAAAAGTGGAAGAGATGTACTAGTATTTAATAGGGGCAACAGAAATCGTTCACACTAGAAAAAAATGGGGCCTTTTATGTGTTTTCCCCCCTATTTTCTCTTAGGAACAGATGCTATTAAAAATATGTCCCTGATTGAATCAGCTGCTGCTCTCTCTTCCAAATCATCACCAAAATGCTTGCTGAAGAAAATTGATGTAATAACAGGGGAAGAAGCGGAATATAATGTGTTAAAGGTCTGTATATCATATATTGCTCTTTCTGGTAGCCCTTGCAGATATAAAGTTATCATCAATAGGGACATTTTTTTTTTAAAGGCAGAAGTATACTTTTTAAGAAAACTGAGTTGCTTAAATAAAAATGTTGGACACTTCCAAAAATTAAACCAGTATTTTGTTGTATTCTTACATTTGTGCTTATAACTTGCAGGAAAAATGGGTTGTTGGATTTATAGCCATTCACATTAGTCCTTAGGAAGCAGACAGCTCAGGACACTTTCTTAATATAACTTTGACCTCTGTACACTGCTCAACCTGCTTGTACAATCAGTGCCATTATCATAGGATTTAAAATTTTAACTTACTCGGAAGGTTTTAAAGTGCTGATAAGATGAATTGATTTTAGTTCTAGAGAGTAAAAGAATTGTGTTTCCCTTTTGAAAGTTTGTAAGTTCTGAATTTCATATAAATCAAAACTTTCACAAATGCGTCTACAGTATCACCATCAGTTTGAATGTGGAGTGGTCTAGGTATCAGCCCAGGCATATGAAGTGTAATTACTACAGCTTGATCATTTCTCAACAAGGCACGGGTTTCCCTTTGTCTGTCTACATCTGCTCTTCCTCCCTTCCTCTTCTCCTCCCCCACAATCTGCTAATACGTTTACTATACAAGTGTGTTCCAAGCGTAACTTCGGATCAGATTAACCCTAGACTATGGAAGTAATTGTGACAGGCGAGACCCTGCCCTGATGCTGTATTTTCAACAAGTCATCCAGGTGACTCACAAACACAGTGACATTTGAGAGCCACTGGTATTTTAAATTCCAGTAGGGCACTCTGGTGTCACATCTTAGCTCTCATGCTCTATTCTTTAAAATATTTAAAGCATACAAATATTTCCATGATTGCTTTACCTTCAAATAAATTACACAGCTCAAATAGCATTAAGTTTAATTTGAAAGTTGGTGTTTATATAGATATACAGGGTGGGGCAAAAGTAGGTTTGCAGTTGTTCATATGGAAAATAATACAATAATTAATAAGTAATAATATAAGAATAAACTCTGTTTCATGTATATACTCACAACAGTAAACCTACTTTTACCACACCATGTATTGTTAAGTGAAAAAGCAAGATACAGAAAGGAGTATGCTATTCTACCATTTACAGGAAAAAAAGGGAACACACACACACACACACACACACACACACACACATATATATATATATATATATATATATATATATATATACTTATATATGGGAGAATTAATATTAGCAATAGTGATTACTGATACAGGAGGTAGAAAGTACAAATGGGAAACTAGGTTTGGGGAGGGACTTCTCACTTTGTACATCTTGCTTTTTAAAAATATTTGTTGTTGAAAGTATTACATCAGTCCTCCCTTTTCTCCCATCTTCTTGCTTTTTGATGTTTGAACTCTTCAAAACTTGTATATTCGTAAAGTTAAATAATATTTAAGTTTAAATAATATTTTAAAACTGATGTGTAAATCATTAACAAAGGTTATTCTGGTAAAAGATCAAATAAATAAAAGTATAGGGAGGGATTTGAAGAAACTTTCTATATGTTTGACATTTTAAAATATTGCCCTTCAGATCAACTGCAAGCTTTTTGTGTTCAACAAAACCACCCCGTCCTGGACTGAAAGGGGCCGGGGAGCGCTGAGGCTGAATGACACAGCTGGCAGTGACCGTGGGGCCTTCCAGTCAAGACTAAGTAAGGGATCCGCTGGAAACGCAGGATGCTATGTCTCAGGGGGAAATTTCCAACACAGGTGCAAACCATTGTCTGGAGATGTGTCATAATGTCAAGAAATCAGACTGTTGAAAACAATGTTGTTTCCAATGTGCCATAGGAGCTTCCTGGTTAGAGTAGGCCCTTATGTCAGAGGACGCTGGTCCCCGTTCTGGCTCCCCCTCTGACTACCTGGTGACCTTAGACAAGTCAGTTACCATTTTGAAATGGGGATGATGGCCCTGGCCAGGAAGCTCAGTTGGTAAGACTGGTCTCCCGATACATCAAGGTTGCAGGTTTGATCCTTGGTTGGGGCGCAGAGAACAAGCAACCAATGCATGAATAAATACTAGTAAGTGGAATAACAAATTGATGTTTCTTTTTTTTTAAATATTTTATTGATTTTTTACAGAGAGGACGGGAGAGAGATAGAGAGTCAGAAACATCGATGAGAGAGAAACATCGATCAGCTGCCTCCTGCACATCTCCCACTGGGGATGTGCCCGCAACCCAGGTACATGCCCTTGACTGGAATCGAACCTGGGACCTTTCAGTCCGCAAGCCGACGCTCTATCCACTGAGCCAAACCGGTTTCGGCAAATTGATGTTTCTTATTCTCTCTCTCTCTCTCTCTCTCTCTCTCTCAAAATCAATAAATGAAAATTTAATAATAGTCCATAACTTAATGATTGTGAGAATTCAGTGAGATAAGAATGTAAGTACCCATGAAGGAGCCCACCACATACCTAAATAGCAACCCATTATTATTTAAAGAAATATGATACAAATTATTTAAAAAGTGAAAATAGTTTTCCTAAAAAAGAATATTTGCCCTATAATTTACAATGCCATTCATAGCCTGGTGTGTGGGTTGGGATGAAGGGTCAGTTTCCAAGGAAATAAAGGTGTGTGGTTATTGAATCCTGCAGGCAGAGTGATGGTTGGAACCTGGAGTCAGTCACACTGAAAGACATCCGAAAGGCACATTGGCCCTCATTCAGAGGCCCAAACTTAACGTGAGCCCACGCCGAGATCTGGGTGGGGGATAGGTTTGGTTGACTGGCCAATACTAGCCAGTGAGAGAGCTGTGGAGGAGAAGACCACGGATAGAAGTCGGATCTAAGTGTATGCATGTTTGTTGAGTTTCAGATATCAAGCTCAACAAACGGGTACGGAATAGAATTCAGACTAAGAGAATAGAAACAGTGTCTTCAGTTCTGTAATTGGCAAACAGGTTTCTAAGTATTATTCCCAAGGTAGGTACTGGTTGTTTTTCTACTTTGGTTTAATTTCACTCCTTCCACCTCCTGCCAAAGAACCACAAAACAAATCTTTTTTTAAAAAAATTATACAGGACATACAAGTTCATTATAGAAGACAGAAAATATGGATCAACAGAAAAAAAAAATCACTCATAGGTCTACCTTCCTGTGATAGCTTCTGTTTACAATACATATTCTTCTAGACTTTGTTCTCTATCTACATAAAGGTATACATATATTGAAAAAGATGTGTTTCGTGGTGTTTATATTGCTTCGCAATTGGATTTCTTCTTGTTTACAAAATATATACCAAGATCACTTTTCTACATCAATAATTCTCTTTTCTCCAGAGAGGAAGAATATATTTCAGAGAGGAAGGAGGGAAAAGAGAGATAGAAACATTAATGATGAGAGAGAATCATTGATTGGCTGCCTCCTGCATGCTCTACTGGGGATGGAGCCTACAACCCGGGCATGTGAATCAAACTGTGACCTCCTGGTTCAATAGGTCGATGCCAGCTGGGCCTCTTCAGTTTTCTTAATGGGTTCATAATACCTTGACTAGCTGTACCATCATTTATTTAACTCATTCTATTTTTTTAATTCCATTTCATCTTTCTCTATTTTAAACAATTTTGGGGTAAATTCTTAAGAACAGTAGGTCCCCAAAGGAGTTCTAAAATTTTAATTATTTTTAATATTATAGTAACAATATATAATTCCAGCATTTTAACCAAAAATTAAATTTAAAAAATTCTTTAACATAATAAAGTCCAATTTGAAAACCAAGTTATAATCTAGTCAAACTTAATAGTGAAAATACAACCTGAAAAATCAGTACAAGATTTACTTTGCTTTCAAATGGGGAATTCCCCTGGAAGGGTAAGAAATCCGCTCTTCTGTGGTCTGATGTATCACCTTCCCGTTTTAGTTATGCGCAATCAAGGCAGCCTGAGGCTGATTCTCAACAGCAAACTCTGGACTCAAATGGAG